GTCTGGGAATAAAGTCCCTTCCTGCAGCTTTTGAAACAGACCAGAGTTCCTGAAGATGCGAGCATCATGCACCTTTCCCGGCCATCCCACGTTGATCTTGGTGAAACGTCCCTTGTGATCCACCAGAGCTTGCAGCACTATCGAAAAGTACTCCTTGCGGTTTATGTACTCGGCGGCTTGGTGCTCCGGTGCCAAGATAGGGATATGGGTTCCGTCTATAGCCCCACCACAGTTAGGGAATCCCATTGCAGCAAAGCCATCCACTATGACCTGCACATTTCCCAGGGTCACTACCCTTGATATCAGCAGATCTTTGATTGCGTGGGCTACTTGCATCACAGCAGCCCCCACAGTAGATTTGCCCACTCCAAATTGATTTCCAACTGACCGGTAGCTGTCTGGCGTTGCAAGCTTCCACAGGGCTATCGCCACTTGCTTCTCAACTGTGAGGGCTGCTCTCATCTTGGTATTCATGCGCTTCAGGGCAGGGGAAAGCAAGTCACAAAGTTCCATGAAAGTGCCCCTACGCATGCGAAAGTTTCGCAGCCACTGGGAATCGTCCCAGACCTGCAACACTATGCGGTCCCACCAGTCTGTGCTTGTTTCCCGAGCCCAGAATCGGCGTTCCACAGCATGAACCTGCCCCATTAGCACCATGATGCATGCATTGTCAGGGCCCATGCTTTCAGAGAAATCTGTGTCCATGTCCTGATCACTCACGGGACCGCGCTGGCGTCGCCTCCTCGCCCGGTATCGCGTTGCCATGTTCTGGTGCTGCATATGCTGCTGGATAATGCGTGTGGTGGTTAATGTGCTCCTAATTGCCAAAGTGAGCTGAGCGGCCTCCATGCTTGCCTTGGTATGGCGTCCGCACAGAAAAAAGGCGCGGAACGATTGTCTGCCGTTGCTCTGACGGAGGGAGGGGCGACTGACGACACGGCTTACAGGGTTGGCTTCAGGGAGCTAAAATCAACAAAGGGTGTGCCTGTACATCAAGGAGTATTTCAGGCAGGACTGCACGGAGGGTTCCAATAAGAAATGGTGCACCTAAGTTATCGTTGTTATTGGAACAAGGAGGTTAGCCTGGCCTCTGATTGATACATGGCTAGATTTACCTCGCTGCACCTTCTCTGTGAGTGACTGCAGTGTGATCTAGACAGGGGAGGAGGCAAATGAGTACAAAACAAATCTGGTCTATTTCTTGTTCTGACCCACTCCATCTATCTTTTACATCTTTGGCTGGCAGCAGACGGTGCAGAAGGACTGCATACCATCCACATCTCATGGCTGCTCGGCAGAAGATGGTACAGTACGACTGCTAGCCATCTTCATCTCTTGCCTGCCTGGCATAAGATGATACAATACGACTGCTAGCAATCCTCATCTCTTGCCTGCCTGGCAGAAGATGGTACAGTACGACTGCTAGCAGTCCGTATCGCCTGCCTGCTCACCATAAGACGGTTCAATAGGACTGACTGCAGGAGTAAAGAGAATGACCTGGTCAAGTCACTCCAAATGTAGTCCCTGCGCCCATGTCTGCCCAGGCGCTCCCAGCCGACGTGGCCAGGAGCACCTCGGACACGACGAGGACGACTACCAATCGTATTGCACCGTCTGCTGCCAGAAGGCAATGGGTTGCTGCTACTGTGCAGCAAAGCCGTACCGCGTCTGCCAGCACCCAGGAGACATAGGGTGACAGTTACCTGAGCTGGCTCCATGCTTGCCGTGGTATGGCGTCTGCACAGGTAACCCAGGAAAAAAGGCGCGAAATGATTGTCTGCCCTTGCTTTCACGGAGGGAGGGAGGGAACGGGGGCCTGACGACACATACCCAGAAGCACCCGCGACAATGTTTTAGCCCCATCAGAGTGCTCCATTGTGACTGCTCTGGACAGCACTCTCAGATGCCCAATTGTTTGCCATTGCTCTGACGCTGGGAGGGGCGCTTACAGGGTTGGCTTCAGGGAGCTAAAATCAACAAAGGGGGTGGCTTTACATCAAGGAGTATTTCAGGCAGGACTTCACGGAGGGTTCCAATAAGAAATGGTACACCTAAGTTATTGTCCTTATTGGAACAAGAAGGTTAGCCTGCCCTCTGATTGATACATGGCTAGATTTACCTCGCTGCACCTTCTCTGTGAGTGACTGCAGTGTGATCTAGAAGAATGAGTCCCCTAGACAGGGGAGGGGGGGGAAGCAAATGAGTACAAAACAAATCTGGTCTATTTCTTGTTTTGATCCACTCCATCTATCTTTTACATCTTTGGCTGGCAGCAGACGGTGCAGAAGGACTGCATGCCATCCACATCTCATGGCTGCTCGGCAGAAGATGGTACAGTACGACTGCTAGCAGTCCGTATCGCCTGCCCGCTCACCATAAGACGGTTCAATAGGACTGACTGCAGGACTAAAGAGAATGACCTGCTCAAGTCACTCCAAATTTAGTCCCTGTGCCCATGTCTGCCCAGGCGCTCCTGATCGACCTCACAGAGGCGACCAGGAGCACCTCAGACATGACGATGACGGCTACCAGTCGTACTGTACCGTCTGCTGCCACAAGGCAAGGGGTTGCTGCTACTGTGTAGCAATGCCGTACCGTGTCTGCCAGCACCCAGGAGACATAGGGTGACGGTTACCTGAGCGGGCTCCATGCTTGCCGTGGTATGGCGTCTGCACAGGTAACTCAGGAAAAAAGGCGCAAAATGATTGTCTGCCCTTGCTTTCACGGGGGGAGGGAGGGAGCGGGGGGCTGACGATATGTACCCAGAACCACCCGCGACAATGTTTTAGCCCCATCAGGCATTGGGATCTCAACCCAGAATTCCAATGGGCAGCGGAGACTGCGGGAACTGTGGGATAGCTACCCACAGTGCAACGCTTCGGAAGTCGACTCTAGCCTCGGTACTGTGGAAGCATTCCGCCGAGTTAATGCACTTAATGCACTTAGAGCATTTTCTGTGGGGACACACACACTCGAATATATAAAACCGATTTCTAAAAAACCGACTTCTATAAATTCGACCTAATTTCGTAGTGTAGACATACCCTTAGAGTGCTGTTCTGGCTACCAGCTTCCCTTCCTCAATGAGCACCTGAAAATGAGTCCAGTCCCGTTGTGGGAGGCTATCAGTAAATTCCTCATATTTTCTGTAATTCAGAAGTCATGTTTAGCTAGTAATCCCTGATAGTATGAAATCCTGAATTGGAGACTAGATGAGGAAAAGACTTTATGCCCCAAAAGGTCTAAATGCTTTCCCTTCTTGTCAGATGGTGTAGAACAAGGGTGCTATTGTCTGGCTCTTTCAGTCACTGCTTCGACAACCAGAGAGATTGGGGGTGTGTCAAGAAGAGAATAGATGGTAAATGGGATTTATATTGTAATGATATACTGATACGTACTGCATGTCGTGTTAGTATTTAATACATACAGATACTTTTAGCTGGATGCATATCATGGATCTTTTACTCTAATCTTCAATTTAACTGGTTTTTTAGCCTCATTTTCTCTAAACACTTTTTGTCTACTATGTGATTTTGGGTTTCAGTCTTGGATGTTGATATAGTGTATCTCTTTTGCATGTCAATTGCTTGGCTGGACTGAAGAAAAATAAGGGTGAGCTCTTATTTTCCAGATTGGGACTAGATCTGGGTAAAATTTTTCAGATAGAACTTTTTTGGTGAAAAATGGAGATCTAGCAACACTGAAACATGTTGTGAAATCATGTCAGTTTCACCAAATTGTTATGGTAAAATAATACCCCTTTAAAAAAAATCAAAACATTTCAACATTTTCAAAATGAAAAATTTGATTCTTTGGTTTGGAATGACTTCATTTCAAAATCTCCTTTGATTTTATTAAAAACAATTGAAACATTTAAAGTAGGCAATATTGAAATGAGACTTTTTGATTCTGTTGAAACTAAATGTTTCACTTGATCCATTTTTTTTAATTTGCCAAATTTTTTGAAAACTTTCTGTTTTGGTTCAACCCCAAACAATTTTTTTTTAAATTTTCATAATTGCCAGCAAACAAACAAACAAACAAAAAAATCAGTTATTTGCACAGCTCTAATTGGAATAGTATTTTGAAATGGTTATGCAGCATTTAACTATATCGGTGAAAAAAAGGAAATATTTCAGAAAACCAAGTCAAGTCCCACTTATTTTATTAATCACTGCTAAGTGAAACAGTGAAAATGCTTTAAAAAATTCAGTCCCCTTTGTTGAAGGCTTTCAAGATATAGGTTGGGGGAGTAATTCAATTGGTATTCTAAATTCAAAATATTTTTTTAATGTTATGGTAGTTGGCACAGAGTAAGATATGTTCACACTTTCTAACATGTGATGATCAGTTTTAGTGAATAGATAGATTTTTAAAAGGTTACTTAAACTGCAAAAATTCAAGAACATTTGCCTTTTCATTCATGAAACAGGTAGTAGAAAACTGTTTTAACTCTGCTGTATAGAGAATTGAAACATCCTTTCAGCTGGTTACTTCAATGAGATCAAGAACCTGCAGTTCTTTTAAAGTCAATGACAGTCTTGCCTAAACAAAAACTGCAGGATCGGAACCCAAATGTGAGACCAGAAATCTATGTAATCAGATGGAGAATGCAGGTGACTGTACAGTCATACATGCATGTATGCTCCACTTTCCTCATTCTAACGTCTGAGGTTATTTATACTACAGAACATAACTTCAGAAGTAATATTAGGAAGATGATGTGCTTCCTCAACAGAAGTTCAAGAAAACATGGATAATTCCACCACTAATGTGTAGGCTTTAGAATGAAAGCACTGTTATATGTTTGCCACATTCTTCTTATTATTTAATGTTTATTTGCAGTAGCATCCACTATGTGCTAGGTACTTTCCAAATACTTAAGAATTACCTGTTCAGAGGAGCTCCATAATCTTCCCTTTATATGATATTCATAGTTTATACAAACAATAAAACAAAGTCTCACTCCTTAAAAATATATCATTTGAATAAATAATTACCTATAAGTACAGTTGGTTTTATAGCTCTAACAATATCTTCTAGATTTTTCATTTCATCATGTTTATGGGCAAACCTTTCTTTTTCAGTTGTTAATGAGGAACGCTCCTAAGTGAACAAAAGCAAAAAATGCATTTATTAAAATTGTGCAGGGACCATGATATTCCCTATGCAAACTGATACACACCTCAAAAAGAGATATTCTGGTAATTAATTATCGCTGTTATGTTCAGTGTATGGCACTTGTATTAGCAAATAACAAAATGTTAGAAAATTTCTTAAATTGTACATTGCATCATGCTCTTATAAAGGACAACATATCCATTTGTCCAAATGTAAATACCTGGAATGTGAACATTTTAAAAACTGACCATTTTAGTCCACAGTAGCATTAATTACTCACAAATTTTCAAAAACCATGCACTATGTGAGCTTTATAATTTTGCAGAAAGCTGAACAATTGTACACACTTTTAAAAGAAACAAATCATTCATGTAATATTGCAACCTTGTACAGTTTTAAGCATCTGAATTTTGATACTTTGAAAATTGGTTTAATAATCAAAAACCTGACCTAATGTTAACAGAGTTTAGTTGTCTTTAGTGACATTCTATTGGCTCAGAATGTATTTTATTGGTACAGGAGTAGTTAATGCTACTGTGGACTGTGCATTTTCCATAAGTATTATTCAAACAAAAACACTCTCTCTCAGCAGCTTCAAGTCTTTTCTTGTGTAAAAGATCAGGAGCCATCTAAATTATGGACTCTCTGGCTGCAAAATTTTAGTATTTTTAATAACTTGGGATAAACATCTCTAACCAGGCACCAATGAAAACATTTTTTCAGTAACATAAATGACTTATGTTAGTTGCAAATCAATTAAGTTTTCATCTGAGGCCCTGTGTACATTAGGGATTTCAGCTATCTCTGGCCAGCCACCAGTGTAGCTGCACCAAGTGAAAGCCCTAATGCAGACAGGCAAAAGCGCTACAGGCTGTGATTTACACTGACACAGCTTACCTGGCCTATAACTAGAGTGTGAAATCAATGGGAGCTGCTGGGGTCTCAGGACTTCTAAGAATTAGACCACTTGTTGAAGTGTCTAAATATGGAGAAAGCACTATCCTTAAGCACTTATTTCTAAAAATTTCACCTGAGCAGTTTAAAATGGACATGCTTGAGAGAACCTTGACTACATGCTCGACTGGATACTGTATTACTGATGTCTTTTCCAACCATGCATTGCCAGTCTCAACAGAGGAAAATTTCCTTCATCTTTCCAAGTTAGCAACAATTATTGAGATAAAATCATCCTTGGTGTAACTCCTTTGAAGCTTAAGGAGTTTCACCAAGGACAAATTTGGCTCATGTATTTTAAAACTGGATCTAACAGTGGATTCGTTCTACTTTTCAAAAACTATATTTTTGGGGTTTTTTTATTTTTAAGAAAAAATTGTTTTAATGTCCTACACAAAAAGGCTGTGGTTTGGCACAAATTACATCACAGCACTTACTCTGCTCCTCCTTCTCCTCTTTGGACAGTAACCACAAGACTTGGCATACATAACAGAAGGCCATTTTTCATCTGCAGCAGGAGGAAATGGTTCCGGGGAGACCACAGAAGTTGTGCAGGTCTGTCATGTGGTTAGAACTGACTGAGCTGCTTTGGTTTACAGGATACCAGTTTCTCTTCTCTCACCCTTGATTATAGGGAATTTTCACAGATTTATCCACTTCTACAGGTTTCTTAAATGACTGAAATACAGTGTTTTAAGTGGAGAGGGTTATGTCCTCATGTGCTTATATGGGGTTTAAGTATGTTCTTAGAACTACTACCACAGAAATATTGAGTAACATGCACCTGATTTCCTTTTTGGGTAAAATATAAAATCCACTGCCTCTCACGGGTGCAGTAAAATTAGCCACTTTTGGCATGTCCATGATGAAGCTAGTGCACAGTCAATTGAGACTTTGAAGATTGCTGTTTTTAAATTCTCCAGCAGATGTCACTGCAGTCTATAAATGTTTTTTTGAGGACTAATTAGTAATTAGCATGCACTAATCTCTGTAAACTGATTGGCTGAGTTTGAGTGTCACATGTTGGTACTGGCAGCATTAATTAACATATGCAAATCCCTGAATTATGATTGGCTGGGTTAATTAACATACTCAAATCCCTGAAAGATGACTGGCTGAATAAATTAATAGCTAATGAGCCAGAATTGCATATAAAGGCAACAGCCAGCAGGCTAAAACTTTGTAGGGACAGGGACCAGCACGAGAGTGGAACGCTGCCGGACACCTACCAGAAGCCACCTGTGCAAGAGAAGCCACCTGAGATGCTACATTGAAACCTAGTAAAGGAAGAGCCACTTGAAAACCAATGGCTGTTACAGCAACAGCAGCAGCCCACCCAGGGTTCCAGGGTTGCTTTGGCAATGACCGTTTCTGGCACCCGGCCAGCAGGTCTCTGCAGCAGCCCAGCAGCAACAACCAACGGTTGCCTGGATGCCGGTGGTTTGCGTGAGATTCCCCTACCCATTCAGTAACCATAAGGCCAGTGTTAATGGATGTTAGAGTTAAGTAATTAATATTAGAGTTAATCAGTGTATTGTTACACATTTATGTTATATGATTGATTGCTATATTGTTATAGAGTAAGTGATTATATTGTTAGATTATGTTATAGAGTTAAGTGGAATATTTATTTGTGTTGTGTTTTTATTTATCGTGCTGCTTCCTTTACATTGTATCTGTAACCTTTACTGTTTATTTTATTTTTACCGCTCTCTCTCCTCTTATTGTAATCCTTCACTTCTAAATAAATTTTATTTTTGTTTTTGAAGAATTTATTACTTGCTGCCTATTCTTGATCAGAGGGCTTTATCAGTGTCCTTTAGGGGGGGAAGTTAGCTGGCCATGGTTAGTGGCTTTTCTTTGGAAAATCCGTAGGACGGGCCACAACCTTTAATACCAGAATAAGCAAATTAAAAAGATAGTTAGGTTCAAATCTTCTGGTAACACCTCGTCACTCTTCTCTTCTGCAGACTAAATAAGCCCAGTTCCCTGAGCCTCTCCCCATAAATCATGTGCCCCAGCCCCTAATAATTTTCATTGCCCTCCGTTGGACTCTCTCCAATTTGTCCACATCCTTTCTGTAGTTGGGGGCCCAAAACTGGACACAATACTCCAGATGTGGCCTCACCAGTGCCGAATAGAGGGAAATAATCACTTCCCTCATTCTGCTGGCAATGCTCCTACTAATGCAGGCCAATATGCCGTTGGCATTCTTGGCAACAAGGGCACATTGTTGACTCAGATCCAGCTTCTCGTTCACTGTAATTCCCAGGTCCTTTTCTGCAGAACTGCTGCTTAGCCAATCGGTCCTCAGCCTCTAGCAGTGCATGGGATTCTTCCATCCTAAGTGCAGGACTCCGCACTTGTCCTTGTTGAACCTCATCAGATTTCTTTTGGCCCAATCCTCCAATTTGTCTAGGTCACCCTACTCTCCAGCATATCTATCTTCTCCCCAGTTTACTGTGATCCGCGAACTTGCTGAGGGTGCAATCCATCCAATCATCCAGACCATTAATGAGGATGTTGAACAAAACCAGCCCCAGGACTGACTCCTGGGGCACTCTGCTTGATACTGGCTGCCAACTAGACATCGAGCCATTGATCACTACCTGTTGAGCCTGGTGATCTAGCCAGCTTTCTATCCACCTTACAGTCCATTCATTCAATCAATACTTCTTTAACTTGCTGGCAAGAATACTGTGGGAGACCATATCAAAAGCTTTGCTAAAGTCAAGATATATCACATTCAACGCTTTCCCCATATGCACAGAGTCAGTTATCTCATCATAGAGGGCAATCAGGTTTGTCAGGCATGACTTGCCCTTTGTGAATCCACATTGACTGTTCCTGATCACCTTTCTCTTCTCAAAGTGCTTCAAAATGGATTCCTTGAGGACCTGCTCCATGATTTTTTCAGAGACTGAGGTGAGGCTGACCCCTCATGTAGTTCCACGCATTCTTCTTCTTCCCTTTTTTAAAGATGGGCACTATATTTGCCTTTTTCCAATCATCGGGACCTCCCCTGATCGCCACAAGTTTTCAAAGATAATGGCCAATGGCTCTGCAATCTCATCAGCCAACTCCCTCAGCACCTTTGTATGCTTTGCATTCTGCCCCATGGACTTGTGCATGTCCAGCTTTTCTAAATAGTCCTTAACCTGTTTTCTCTCCACTGAGGGCTGCTCACCTCCTCCCCATACTGTATTGCCCAGTGTAGAAGTCTAGGAGCTGACCCTGTTTGTGAAGACCAAGGCAAAAAAACATTGAGTACTTCAGCTTTCTCCACATCGCCTGTCACTAAATTGCCTCCCCTATTCAGTAAGAGTCCCACACTTTCCCTGACCTTCTTCTTGTTGCTAATATACCTGTAGAAACCCTTTTTGTTACCCTTCACATCCCTTTCTAGCTGCAACTCCAACTGTGCTTTGGCCTTCCTGATTACACCCCTGCATGCTCAAGCAATATTTTTATACTCCTCCCTAGTCATCTGTCCAAGTTTCCACTTCTTGTAAGCTTCCTTTTTGTGTTTAAGCTCACCAAAGATTTCTCTGTTAAGCCAAGCTGGTTGCCTGCCATATTTGCTATTCTTTCTGCACATCGGGATGGTTTGTTCCTGTGTCCTCAATAAGGCTTCTTTAAAATACAAGCATCTCTCCTGGACTCCTTTCCCCCTCATATTAGCCTCCCAGGGGATCCTGCCCATCCTCCCCTCCATCCATGAGAGAGTCAAAGTTTGCTTTTCTGAAGTCCAGGATCTGTATTCTGCTGCTCTCTTTTCTTCCTCTTGTCAAAGGCTTTCTGAAAGTCCAAGTACACTGTGTCCACTGGATCATTCTTGTCCACATGTTTATTGACCCCCTCAAAGTATTCTAATAGATTGATGAGGCATGATTTCCCTTTACAAAAGCTGTGTTGACTATTCCCCAACAAATTGTATTCATCGATGTGTCCGATAATTCTGCTCTTTACTATTTTTTTCAACCAATTTGCCTGGTACTGAAGTTAGGCTTACCAACCTGTAATTGCCAGAA